TGCATGCATATATATATATATATACTAGAAAAATCACACACACTCATGCTCGGTTCTCCTGCAGCGATGCTGGATTCCGTCCGTCCCCACCCATTGGCGCAACATTCACAGAAAAACAACCCTTCTCGCTAGCACAGCACAAGATACGACGTCCCCGTGGACCCCAACTTTTCCCCAAGCGAAGGTATGCCCCGAGCTCGTGAGCGCAGAGGGCCTTGTCCGGCCTCTAGGGGCTGGAAATCGAACCTTGGAGCAGAAGTGGGGCCAACAGGGTGTGAAGTTGAAGCCTTTTCTGTTTTGCAACAAACATCGTTGTCCTGAACCTGAAGCCTAAACCTGAGACGACCCCGAAAGCCTCAAACCCTAAAGCACTAAACCCCAAAACCCTGAAGCCGTAGAGCCCTAAACACCCAAAACCTGAACTGAACCTGCATGATCTCCGAGAGGGCAGGCGCTCTAGGAATAGGGCTAATTACATCCTGAATGAGATCATCGGACACTTCTAACGTCTGTGCCCGGCTTTGGGGCTTCGGATTTAGTAGTGTAGGGTTTAGGGTTTAGTGTAGGGTTTACGCTCTCGCAACTCGGACTTCGCTAAGGGTTTTGCTTGAGGTTTACGGTTTCCATTCTAAACGGGGCACGGCGCCCATACAGTATCCGTCTCTAATCAGGGTACGATCAAGGGCCTTATACCTCTATACTGTGAGTACTGTTCCACTGATATAGCGGAGGGAATTTAACTTCTGACCCTTCAACACCATGTCGTAGCCCCTAGAACAATATCGCACACATAGCTTCACAATAGTATTGAGTAGAACCGAGTAGAAACTCACGTTGTATAAGGTAGTACGACATACTATAACATAACACAGCAGAACATACCACATGATGAAATCCTGTCATAGAATACCGTATAACATGCTACAGTGTAATGCAGTATACCATCATGTAATATGACATGATAGAGTATAGCACAGTCTATCTTCGTACTGTAGAATAATGCCGTATAATAAAGAATCTAGCATATTCGAACATACTATAGCCTAGTATAGTATAGTATAGCATAGCATATGATACTGTCGTATAACCATTGTATGTAGTAGGACAATGTTCTTGCAACAAAAAGCTTGAAGAGCCGTGGTGCTGCGCCTCTGACGGGTGGACAATCTGTGACAAGAGCGGAGTTGAATCGTTCAGGTTGAGGGTTTCAGAAGCTACGTGCCGGAGAGCTCGATGTGGGCCCCCTGCCAGTCTGGTGTTCTGAGTTTCGGAAACTGCCCACATTTTGCACATGAGGAGGCCGGCTGCGCCTCTAGTTGGACTCTGTCTGCCCGGCGTTCGTTGAGGGCATGTCTTTGCAACAGACAGAGGAAATCTGAGTCAAGGGCGTTCAAACAAGAACTCGCAGTTCGTAACCTGGACACTTCCTGGCACAGGAGTCGTGTCCGAGTTCAGCCTCTACCTCTGCTGTCACCATGCGATGCCACAGCAGCAAGCACCAGAAACCCTCCATGAGCAGCGAAGCTCTAAATCTCTACTCAGCTCCTCTTTTCAATGTTCTATGCATGGGAGATCCAGAAAAGCCATAAACCAACAATGCGCAAAACACTGTAAAGAAACCTGCGATTAAACCCACACAACCCACAGCCTACCCACACTCTAAACCCCAAACCTGAAACCCCTAAACCCCTGGACCCTGAACCGAAACCCTCGGAAAGACGATCCTTCAGAGACCTGCCGGCTCCAACTCAGAGCAGGCCCATGTCGCCTCAAGCAGGCATCATAAGGGCTATAATGGTTACTATGCTTATGAGTGTTACTGTGGCTATAGGGGTACTGACGGTTTCTACAAGGAATGCCATATTGCATTGGGTAATTGCTGTGCCCGTAAGGTTTTCTGTGAGAGTTTCCATGAGGGGTACTGTTCCTGTAGGCTGCGGTGAAGATTAATTGGTTAGTAGGACTCTAAGGGTACTTCAAGGGTTCCTAGAAGGGATACTACGAACTAATAGCAAATCCTGCAAGGGTACATTAATGGTTCCTAGAAGGAAGACTGCAGGTGCAAGGCTAATGAGGGATACTTTAATGGCATGCTCTGTGTTCAGCACTCAAGCTAAGGCAAGCGAAAGGGAATCCACAAACTTGTCTGCAAAAAGTCCTTGCTTTTGTTGGTTTAGAAGCTTTTTGGCTCTCCTAGGCGAGGTGTAGGCCACTACATTGAGCAGCTCACAGCTACGGTTTAAAGTTTAGGGCAAAGTCACCTAGAAAAACTTCAAACAACCACACAAGTCTTCACGGAGGCTGTTGCTGGCAGGCAATGCACGCCTGTGTGATCCCTTGTTCAGCCGCCCATCCCCAAACCAAGACCCCAAAGCACGGGACGACTGAACGGGTTTCGACTCACACACTCGTGCAAGCAGGCATGGGACTGAACGGGTTTAGGGTTGAAAGTCTTGAGGACTAACCAGCAGCCCTGACTTCGGCAAGAATGAAAGACAAGGCTGACAGTTCTACCACGCTTGAAGCTCATGGTAATTAGGCTGTCCTGCCAGTCTTTATTGACGAAACGATCATCCAAAACTTGATCCGAACACATTATGCATGTGTGCAAGTGTTCTGGTAAAACAGACAAGCTGAACCGCTTCGCTGGCACAGAATGGGCAGACATGCTCCTGTCAGTTTTCACCCCGGTTTCATGCTGGCTGGCCCGGCTGTAATCAAGTAAGCAACGCTTGCAATGTAAATTGGCGGACTACTGCGGTCTACTACACTTTGCTGTGGATAGCGAAAGTCTAATTGAAGGGAACCGTAAGCTGAAATGCCAGGCCTTGCTCGTACTTTCCATTTCAGCTGCCGCTGCTGACTCAACGCAGTTAGCGATGTCAAAGCAGCCTCTCCCACTCCTCCGAACGTCCGCGACTCGATGCTAGGTACACACAGTCTCTGGCCACTTCTGAAATACAGAGCCGGACGCATTTAAAGCGATGTCGCGATAATTACTTCAACCGATGTGGTTACAACTTCCCTCTACTGCACTCGTTATCAGATCAACAGTTTTGATGTGCTGCTATGCACGCTGACGCGTGGCATTTTCATGGCAATGCTGCAGTAATGATGGTCAAGCTGACCCCCATACCGGCAGGCACAACAACGAGCCATTTCGCATCTCAGGGTGCGACACGTCGTGCCACCGTGCTACTTAATCAACGAAGATTGAAGCTCGCAGACTTAGTGTGAATTGCAGTTGTCCCTTTGAATATGAACTTCGCAAGGTGGGATTAGGGTGGGATTGCTCAAAAAAGCCAAGTGTATGATGCTTTGGGAGGTTCCGTTGTGGAATACTTCTTAACATGTCTCCGAGATGCCAACGCCGGTTGCCTTGAACGGCCCCACTCGTGGGCTCAAACTGGGCTCCAACGTTGCAGGCTTTGTTGACAAAGCTCATTGTTGTTCGCAGAATACCGCAATTTGCGGGGTGTGCAGGTGGAACACATTTCATGCTAAAGCTGTTCCAAATATTTCTTGATATTTCTTGAGCAGTCCACATACACGCGTGTTTGCCAACGGCTGACACACCAACGCCGAGAACAAACAACCAGGCAGTTCGTACCGCTGCTCTGCAAACGAACACGTCCTTCCATTGAAGTCTTTTCAGTCAGGGCTGGTGACGTGTAGGTCCATTTCTCCTGGCGGCTTGGCTATGCAATGCGGGAAGTGGCTAGACATTATAGCGACTATATGCGTAAAGGGGCTTGGAGTCGCATGGCAATCCTAAAACCCTAAACGCCGAACCCTAAACTCCAAACCCCAAGCCCGAACCCAAAACCTAAATCCGCAACAGAAAACCCACACCCAAAACCCAGACACACAACTCAAATCCTACACCCACAGCCCAAACCCAAAAGCGACCCCAAAAACCCAAACCTTACACCCACACTCAAACAAACACAAAAAAAACAGACCCAAAACCTGCACTCAAAACCCAAACCCGAAACCTACTGCCAAAACCTAATCCCAAAGCCCAAACGCTAAACCGAAAGCTTAAACCCAAAGCCTGACCCAAACCCACAACCCCCCTTTGATGGAGACCTACTCCTAGCCCTTAAAGGAAGGCGCCTCGATCTCGACAACTTTCCGGCCGGCGTAGTCGGGTCGTTTTCTGATCGGCGCCTCACTCGCCGGTGGCTTGGGCTCCTGGTGCGCTTAGGAAGGGGAAGGGGCTGCCTGGGCGTTTGGGTCCTTAGGTTTTGGAGTCTTTTGGGTTTTAAGGGTATAGGGTGAAATTCGACTAGATGGGAAAATGGCATGACTACTGATTTCTGCTGTTGCTGCTGGCATTGCTCAAACAGGCTCACTGTCACAGCGGCTGCTGACGCAGCAAAGCGCGGCTTGCAGCTGTTTCGGATGTTTCGATGCCAGGATACCTCCCGATCTCGCTTTGTCGATATGTCACGTCCAGCACTGCGACATTGGTGTCATAAGAAGTGCACGGAGCTTCGTGAGGCAAGCATTCTCAACTAGACGGCTGAACCCAATCTTGTTTTTGCCCGGCGCTGCAGTTTCGAGGGCGATAGACATGCTTGGACACAGACTATGCCCTCAACTCCTCCTTCGCATTCGTCATGGCTGCTTTGCTCCTGCACCGTCACATGTCGCCACTAGAAGTCGCAAGAGCATGTGAGCAGAGGCTGGACAAGATGATCACAAGTGCTTTGCGAGTTCGGACAGCCAAGCCTTACCCGTAGATGTGTACGTAGATGTTGGAGCTGGGCATGGCCGTGTATTATTATTGTTATTATTATATGTGATGTGTCTAAATATATATATATATATGAGCATATACCAATGTGAAATTTAATGCATTTACGAGGTCTATGAGCAAATACGTTCTGCGAGTGTACCTATATTAACAAGTGAAACGTAAAGCACACATCTCTGCACAATAGAAAGAAGTAAGTACACACACACACACACTCCCTCTCTCTCTCTATAGGCTACATATAAACATATGTCTTCAGTCACAGATAAAAAATAAACAACATAAACAAGTACATAAACAAATAAAGAAATATATATATATATACTTTCATTCTCATTTATTTTTAGTTATTGAGTATTTCTTTGTACATGTGCTTTTATGTGTACATGCATATGTGCATACATATGTATGTATGTACAATAACATAAACATACATACATCCATCCATCCATACATACGTATATATATATATGTGTGTGTATATGTGTGT